TAGGACTCGTTTGAATTTTTGTTAGAAAAATCATAATTTTCAATTTATAATTAATCTTAATATATAAAAAATATTTTTATAAAATCATATTTTTATGTTTATAAAATCATGGTTTTAGTTTTTAAAATTGATTTATTTAGTTATTCAAATATGCAGTTAAGTCACATGTATTTATCTCTTGTTTCCTCTAGCCAGCAGGGACCGCTTCTCATGACAACAGCCGCAGCCACTTCTTCTATTACTCGGAAAGGCGAATCCCTGGTGCTGTCTTCTTCAACGTCGACATCTTCAATTTCTCTCATGAAGCCTTCTGCCCCAATGTCGTCTTCGCTCCCATCATTACAATTCTACTTGCCTTCCTTCAAGTTCGAATTTCAACGGCAAATGCCTCACCCTTCCAGCTTCACCCTGTCATTTTCGTGGTTGCTGTTCTGTGTTCCATAGCATATTACTTCAATTTAGGGGCCAAGTTCATGTTTCCTGGTTTTGCTTCTCTGTTTGAAGCGCTCACATCAGTCTTTGGCTATTTGGCTGTTGCCTCTCTAACACCTTTGGTTCTGCAACTTCCATGGTGGTCCATTTTCTTTATCCTCTTATTTTTGGGAGGGTTCTTTAAGCTGCTCAACAAACTTCATGGCATATACGGCAATATGCGTCGTCCATACCCAAGAACAGTACAACAACTGCCTATATAAAGTCATTAGAGGATGGAGATTGATTCAGAAAAATGTTTCTTACCTTAATTTAGGGTATTTTCATGTGCCTTCTTTTCATGATTGTATGTGTTTTTGTTCTTTTTGGGGGGGGGGGGATTCCACTTGATATATTCATTAATGCTATAAAATAAAATGGGAACTAAAGCTCATCATCTTCTTCTCTTATTGGTTAGACAAGGGTTGTTATTCAAAATCTCTTAAGCAGTATCTAACAGATATTTATATTTTCCCGCTTTATGATTAAATCTATTTTCTGCAACTATGAATACTGAAAGATGGTCTAATAAAAAGGAAATTTTCATGCTAATTTGCCACTAATTTATCTATCCTGAAACCCATTTGTCTCCACATCCACAACTTTTGAAGGGACTTGCACAATTATAGAATAATCACAGATATTAAGCTGAAATATTGACTTCAAAGATGATGGTGTCATGTAATCTATTTCAGTTTCAATGAAGGTTCTATTGTTTCTTTATTTATATTTATAAGTCTCTCAATATCTTTCACATATATCTAAAACTGATCAAACTTTTATTACTTGACGGCTTAAGATATGTAAACCTTAACGACATTCATAGTTTGATCTCCCTTCAAATCGTTATGGTTAAAAGTGAAAACAAAAATTTGAATGCAAATTTGAGTTTATTTTCATGTATAACGAAAACTAATCTAGCTTTTACCATTTGCATTTTGAAATATTGAGCCACTGTTGAGTATATGCTAGCTAGCTCTGTGTTTTCCTCCCATTTTATTACATATTGTTAACTTCTTTCTATAACATTATAAGATATAGTTGATTTTGAAGCAACTATGTCTAGGGAGAACTAAGTGCAATGCCAACAAGTGATTCAAGAGCTTGATGTGAGTAAGTCTTGGCAACTGATATCAATAAACTCAGAGTTGATGTCATGCAAGGTATAATTTCTATGTTTGCAAAGATGTAACTAGTTTAATAAGCAAGGATCTACAATTTTTGTTGATTAGGTAAGAAAGTAGGAGGTCATTATGCATCTTTTGGGGAATTTATAGTGACCACTAAGTTATCTTGGACTAATTTTTGTTCTTCCATATTATCATTACTTCTCCTATGCGTAATTTGCTGAACCTGTTATGCTTTGGTACTTCTCCTTTTAAGGATTTTATCATTTTATTGATATGGAGGTCTTGTTGCTTTCCCTGTTTTTATGTAAATGGTGTTATTTTCGTGCATTGCATTTTTTTCACTTGTTTTTTAAAGTAATTTTCTAACCCAATTATTCCATTTTTCATGTGAAAAGGTCTAACTCATCAGAATATAGCTTCATTTCCTTACAGTTATTGCTGAACGTTTAATGGTAATGTAAGTTGGATTTTTTGGCCTACTTTAAATTTTTCTTACACTCTGGACCAATGTCTTTGGAGATTTTCTTGTGTTTATTTTCAATCAAGAGCTCTACCTGAATATAACTTCTTGATGTTAGAACTTCAAATCATATTGAATTGAATGATGTTGTCTCATGCCACTTGGCAATAACTGCTTTCATGACCTTGTTACTGAATAACTTATATTTTATCTTTTGAAAGGCAGCAATCTAGCCCTTTGCAGTGTATGTTTTTGGTTCTGTTTGAATACTTATTAGGATTACTAATGCATACAGCATGCATAACTTAATGAGATTCTCGTTCATGACATGGAAATTTCAATTAACTCTAGAATTTAGAATCATAATCCATTTCTGGTAGAAACAGATGAGCCATTCACAGGTCAATCAAATTATACTTATTGTGATATTCATGTTGGGTAGTCTTACTCTTTCTAATTTGGATGGACCAGAATGCGAGCAGAATGCTATTTTATTATATGTGCATGGTTCATGTTTGCTGAAATTCCATATGATTCCCATTAAAGGGCCAGCTACTCGTCCTCTCTACCCAATGGTTTTTATGAGAGTAAGGCATCAATGAACCAAGTATGTCAGGAGGGATTAGAAATCAATGTTGCTTTTTCTTCCTTGATTCTAAATATAGAACCAACATATTTGTTGACTTTATGTTATTAATCTTCATTATGTTTGCTCTGCTAAGGTTCCTTTTAGATCTGAACATTTCTCTGCTACTGAGAATAACTATAGGCTTTCTAACCTGAACTTACAAGTTAGAGTTAACTTCAGTTGATTTGATAGTAAAAAGTAGACTTCTAACTATTAAGTTGACCAGATAACAGTTAAGAGTATGTCTAAAGCTTTGTAGATGCTTTTAGATTATGCATATGTACTAGCATATGAGATATTACTAACTGAAATTTTAGATTTGAACAAACATAAGGTACATATGAAGCACACTTGTTTCAATAGTGGAGTCATATCTGTGTTTAACATTTATACTAGATAGGACTCACATTTCCACTTACAGATACTTTATTTTCACACTGTGTTTCTTTAAGGATTTATTCCTCTTAGCAAGTGACTACTATTTGCATGTTGGAATATTGAGCTCTAGTTGAGTAAAAGTTACCTTGCCCTCGGTTTTATTTTTATTTTCTTATATATTAACTTCTTTTTTTAACTTTATAGTATAGCATGTTGGTGATTTTATATTACTAAGACTTGCAGGTTTTGTAGCAACTCTAGGGAAAAGTAAGTGTAATGCCAACAAGTTTTTGAAGATCTTGATGTAAGTCTAGGTAACTGATACAGAACTGAGAGAGGAGAGAGAACAGAAGAATCAACGACTAACTTTCATTAATATTTCTTCCCACTAATGAACTAACTCCTTATAGAAATAAATGAGAGTTAGTAATGGTATTCGGTTAATACAGCTATTATTCAAGTATACTTACAATTCTCATATCAGCCATGCAGAGTATGTCTTCTAAATTTTCCAAGCTGTAATAAGTTTTAATCTACATTCCCTATTATAATTGATGTTCTTGTACTTTTTCACATTCAATGAAAATCATGGACATGAACACATATAAGCTAATATTTCTATCCTAAGGCTTTTTTATTCATTTTCCTCTAGAGCTTTTGTTTATCATTTTGACGTCAATGCTAACGTGTCTTGCATGCCTTTCATTGAACCTTTATTCTTTTTCATTTTCTTCCACTACATCATTTATTAATGTTTTTTCCTTTCTCTCTATACTAAGTGTTGCTTAAACTGATGAAATTTCACAGTTGGTGATCAGAATCATCGTGCTCATGCTACAAGTCAAGTTCTTTTCTTTGATCTTTAATATTTGTATATGCACCCTCAGTCTTAATATGCCTATCCTTAGAGGCCATACTTGAAAAATTCCACTGATTAGATAACAATACTTTGGTAAGAATGCAGTGGGTCATTATGATATGACCATGTTTTCTTGAACTAATTTTTGTTCTTCCATACATTACTTCTCCCTTGTTAGGGCATAATTTGCTGAACATATTATGTTTTGTTACTCCTGTTTTTAAAGATTTTATCATTTCATTGATATGGAGGACTTCTCAACTGACATTTAACGTATACTCATTGCTTTCCTGTTTATTTGTACTGAGATGCATCTTTGTCCTTTTAATTTTTTTCACCTTGTTTGGTTTTTGTACAATTTTCTAAATATATATATATATACTTATGTTTACCTTCAAACAGGAACACGACCAGACTGTAACGTCTTAATGTTGATGTCAGAACTTCAAATCATGTTGGAAGTAATGATGTTTTATATATCATGCTATTGGCTATAAGCCTATCACTACTTTCATGACCTTGTTACTGAATAATTTATATATTATCCTTTAAAAGTTTTTGCAATCGTCTGAATATTTATTTGGACTTAAAATACACATGGTAAGTAAGATTTATCAAATAGTTTTCATAATATGGAAAATTGAATTATTTTGAACTCTAGAATTCAGAATCGTAGTCCAGTTCTAGTGGAAACTGAAGGGAATTTCATAGGTCAATCATATTATAGTCAATTTCATGTGATATTCATGTTGGCAGTTTTCTTTTTCTGGTTTTGTTGGACCGGGATGCAAACAGACTGCTATATTTTTGCAAGTTCAAGGTTCTTGTTTGGTGGCATTGCAAGTGCCAGCTTTGTTAATGAATCATTATGGCAAAGGCTCATAGCACTTCACACTATTCTGATTCTAAGGGCCCTGCAATACCTCTCCCTGATGATGTTTATGACGAAGAGGCATCTATGAACTAGGCAAGAGATTAATGTTTCTTTTGCTTCCTTCAGTTCAGATTCTGAATACAAAAATGACATATTTGTTAACTTTGCTATTAATCTTCATTGTTTACTCTATTTAGGTGTCTTCTGGATCTGACCAGTTCTCCGCTACAAAAATGACCAGTTCTCTCCAGTCTTCTAGATATGCAAGTTAGAATTAACTTGCAGCTGATTTTGATTGTTCAAAAAAAAAAAGGAATGGTTCAATAATGGAGTTCTACATATGAGTGTTTTTTTCCTCTTAGTGATTGTTAGTATTTTGCCAAGCAATAATCTATTGCCTTTAGATATTTGATTTCTGTTCTGTCTTGTGTTTGAAGCGCCCTTGATCTTTATGGATCGGTTTTTCCTGAAGCATGGACAGCAATCCCTGTTTGTTTCTCTTGACAATGCTGGAGCATAGAACCTAGGAGCAGAAAACCTGGAGAGGTGGAATCTAGCTCGAGAAACTTATCTAATGACTGATGATTGTTAATCTTGAAGAAGATGGGGAAGCAAAAATGGCGGCACCAGATAATGCACTGTATTGTGGACCCCTCAAGTCTCTTCATCCAAATTATCCAATCTTTCTAACGCATCACTTGTTTAATTGTTTATTGTCATGATTATAATTTCTCTTAAAGCCTTGGCCTTTTATGATTGTTTTATGAATTTTACCTACAGAGAGCAGGACCAATCTTCTGGAGTTCATGCTTTTGGAGAAAGCTTGAAGTTTTACATGATGACGCTATTGACACTTTTTACTGCCATTTTCATATGTAGCTAAGTTTCCCTGATGCGTCTGCAAGGTTAGCATCTTCACAACTTACTTGATGTGTTGGGGCTGTGGACGTCTCTAGGATAGTATGCCCAAAGGGTGATTACTAATTTTTAGGTCTGAGGAATTTTCTGGATCTTTGATATTTCTTTTGCTTTGCCCTCATTTTCTTTGTAATTTAGTTGTTAATGGACTGAATGATGAATCAATGATCTAATTGGGTTTGATGTCAATCTTTATGTAGCAAATTTTGGATAATTTAATTCTTAATTCATTCTAATCCAGGAGTACACAATTTAGATCCATAATCATTCAACTTGAATTTAATTTTTCAGTTGAAGAAGCTCATGCATTAGAGCTGCTAATTTAATAGAGTGATGAGCCTGACCTTTATCTACCCGTGCATCAGCCTTTCAACATATATCAAAATAGGTAATATAGATGTCTACCCTTCTCTTTTATATAAGGGTGAACGTATGGATTAAAAATTACAGTAAAAAACTTATAATATTTAATATAAAGGACCATAAAATTAATAAATATAATCTAAAATTTGTTCATATTATTTTTAATTATTTGTTGCGTTTATTATTGTCATGTGAGTTTGTGAATCATTATAAAATTAGATGCCTTTTCTTTGCGAGCGTATAAGATGTTACATGTACTCTTGTTCAGGGGAACCACTAACGGCACCGGTATATTAAAGTATAATCAACCTTTCTCTTGCATAAATGAGAAGAGCAAAGGTGGGGAATCTTTCTCTTGCATAACTACTTCCATAAACTTAAGGTTTATTGCATATCTTTGTCCCTATATATATATATATATATATTAAAAATTTTAAAAGAAAAACCATCATGTTTCATGTACACTTTACTACTCTGTCTCTCTGTTTTTTTTTTTTTGGGAATGGAAAGTGGAATTTCATTAAAGAAAACTGTACAGATACAAAAGGCAAAAGCCAGCAACATCAACGACTTAAAAATAGGAACAACTTTAAGAGTATGATCGACTAAGATTCTAGTATGTAGAAGGAAAGAATCAACAGTAAAGTGTTTGTGAATGAATATCCTTTGGCTCCCAACTTCCCATAGCTTCCAGCAGATAATACTGATTCCCACTTTCCATGAAGTATCAATTTTCTTAGAGAGAATAACTTTAAGAAGCCATGTGTCAATCTTATCCTTGCAGAATTCAGCATACATATCTCTGCGTAGGATCTTCTTCCACACCGATGTTGCGATGGAGCAATTCTTGAAGACATGGTTGATGTCTTAACTGCATCTATACAGAATGCGCAGTGGGGGTTATCAATCATCTTCCTCCATAGCTGTTTGGCATTTGTTCGTAGTTTCCCTTTGAGCATGGGCCAAACAAAAGCCCTTACTCGTTAAGCCACTGGGAGTTTCCATTCTTCATCATTCCAGCTAGCGAATTGAAAAGCTTTGTATGCTGATTTAAATGTGAAAGCCCCATTAGAGTTAAATGCCAGAAGGAGGTATAGGACCTTGTTCAATGGGGGTTTATAAGCCCTTGGCCCCCGTGAAATGAAAGTTGGCATAGATCAGCCTACTTGATTATGCTTTACTACTCTTTAGTATAAGACAAGACTATTCTATGATTTTTATTGCAAGATTTTTTGTACAAGTTGCAAAATCATTTTTATTATATAAAGTATTAATTCTATGCATTTGAAAGTTTTTGACAGATTTTAACATGTAAGAAGGGTTAAGAAATAAGAACAGTGTTTTGACCATCAATATGTATGCACGCGCACACATGTAAATTTAGATGACATTTTTAACCAGGATGCCAGATCCGAAAACAACTAAAAAATAATTCAATCTTATTAAAATTTAAAAAGTATTATTTAATCAAATTAAAATGTAATATATTTTAAGCAATCATGTTGAAAGCACAATCAAGTTGAGTATTTAATACAGACATCTCTTGTAGTAGAGATTCAAACTTGGTTTATCACGTTAGAAAAGACTAGTCTCTCTTGCTAAATCACACATGTTATTTATAAATGGATGTGTTTTTAAATCAAAGACCAACACTCACGGCACAATTGAGAATATCACATCCAAGACCAACACTCACGGCACAATTGAGAATATCACATCCTTCAGACAAAGATTAAGATGTTGTCTAACAAAATTATAAAGCAAATACTACCGTATCACATTCATGTATCAGAAGCTAGATGCCCCAAAATTTAATTTCAAGTAACAAACGTCCTATAGTTCATAACAATGCAACACTGTACCGCATACTTGGATTGACTATATATCAAACTTTATTCTTGCTTTTTCACAATCAAACAGAACACTCTGAATCCTAGCACCGCATACTATTCCACTGTTCTTGTCTTCCATGAGAATGATACACCTGATAGACTCAAGGCTTTGTTGATCTCTGATAAAGGGAATGAATGAGTGATGGACTTCTCCAAATCCAGCTCCTGCGGTTTCATCATAAGATCCCACCCATCACTAGCATGACTAAGAATTTACACAAAATCACAACCACATTTCATTCCATAAGGAGGCTTACCCCTTTCATGTACTTCTCCACCAAAGAAGGCAGATCAGAACGAGGCTTGTAATTGCCATAGAAGGTGCCCTTGAGAGTCTTTTCGTTCAGGAAATTCACTGGATGGGTTTTGAATGCATCATCTTTATTTGGAACTCCAACCAGCACTGCCACTCCCTTCCCTGCAAACCCATAACCATTCACATTGTCAGCCCTGACTTTGCCAGTAGCCTATAAATCTACTCTGATGACATTTTAGCAGAGTTAGAAGGCATGTGAGCTTCTAATACATACATTGTGGACACATTCGAATGCTGAGATCATAGCCTGGATGCTCCCAGTGCACTCGACTGCACGATCCACACCTCCATTTGTCATTTCGACTACTACCTGTTAAGTGTTAACTACTAAAACCATGTTACTATGATGAGACAGGTGGCTATATTTATCAATCAATCAACCCCTTTTATTATTCACTAACCTCTTCTTCAGGTTTGTCATGGTCTTTTGGGTTCACAAACTCGTTAACTCCAAACTTCTTGGCTGCCAATAACAATAAAAACATAAACTACCATCAACACACACACACACACACACACACACACATTGGGGTTTAATGAGATACAGCGAGTATTTTATGAAAATATGAATAGTATTTTATGAAAATATGAATAGTACCTTTCTCAAAATGACTAGAAACTAAATCAACTCCAATAATTCTGGATGCCCCAGTAATCCTTGTCCCTAGCAACAGAGGAACCAGGTTTTGGTTTTGCAAAATTTACGGTAGCACCGAATCCTACAACAATAAAGTATGCACTCAGAAAGTGGTATTGCTAATTCATCCAACAAGATTGTATATGTATAATGTTGAAGTAAGGTAAAACTTGTGCAGATTCCACAGCTAACAATCAAACTTTGTCAAGAGGAGCAGCAGGGTTAATCTTAGCGACACATCCAACATGCAAGACAGTGTACTCGCCGAATGTGGAAGTCCCCACAAAATGATATATTGGCTGTCCGTTTTTAGAGAATCTGGACTTGCCGTCGTTGATCATTACATCCCTGTCTGTGTTGATCCTTAGAAGGTCACACATGTTGCTTTCTTTTGATTTACAGCGCGGGCACTCTCCACTCCCCTCTGAATACTGGAAGAGCCTGATCTCCTAGTTTTAGATGAGTCACTCCCTCCCCTAAGCTCTCCACAATCCTGAATAAAATAACATCACCATCCACATGTGTAATTGTTTTATGTACGCTAAAGGAATTTATAACCAACGTGAAATAGGTAAGAATTGAAGATGAAGGAAGGAACATACCCTCCGGCTTCGTAGCCAAGTATACGAGGGAACAGTGGAGTTTGTCCCTATCATAGGAGAATCTTGAGATTTGACAATGGAAGAAGCGTAATGATAGGTGATGCAATGAAATGAAAGAATTTACCTTGGCTTCCCAAAAGTAAACATCAGTATGACAAAGGGCTGTGAAGAGAATCTTGAGGCACACTTATCTGGCGTGCGGTGGCGCTACCTCTACCTCTTCGATCGACAGTGGCTTCCCTGGTTACCAAGCGACCACAGGTACATTTCATCAATTCCACACAAAACAATCAATATAATCGGACACTTATATTAAGATGCAATACAGAATTGAGGAGAGAGAAGACATTTTACGTGTGAAGAAGATGGTGAAAGACAAAGGAGAGAAGAGATTAAGTATGAAGGCTGACCTCATACTTGACCAGCCGTGCTAGACATGGTAGTTTCTGAGCACTGAGTATGAGGGACGACAATGGTAGTGAGAAATTGTTGAAAGTTGTTGGGATGTGGGGGAAAGCAGAGCCTGGCAAAAGCTATATATACTTGGAGAAGACATGCCCACTTGGTCGCCCATAGAGAACCACTAACTGAATTTGAGATTGGGTTTTTGGTTTAAAGGGTTTGGAAGGCAATAAAAACACTGGTTTTGCATCGTCGTCCAATAGGAGCTACAAGGAGATTTCAAAAGTAGTTTCTTCAACGCTGGTTTCAACTCGAGGTTATGCTTTGTTATTTTTAGATCCTCTGTCTTTTTAATCCCTGGCCTCTTTTCATCAAACAATTTTTTAGCGTGGCATTTGAGAAAAATAATTAAAAATTAAATACCACGGCCATGGGAAAACTGGTCGCGTTGGCCAGTGAAAACGAGAAACAAGTTCAGGCGTTCAACGTTTGCGGCTTGGAAGAGCGTGAGCTAAATATCATCAAGGATTAATTATTAAACTAATTTCTTGGTTACATAAATTATGCAAATAGTTAACATCACAAGCTCCTACAGCAAGACATTATAAAGATGTTGCCAAGTGCCAACACAAGAAGTCTTGACATGGCTACTTTCTAGTTCTAGGAATAAAACTACGTCATTAAAATGCAAGTGGCTGTGCTTATCTTTTATATATAACAGATAACGAATGGCAATATTCTTCATTCTTATATCATCTATTCTAGAATTAATCCATTTTTTTTTGAGTAATTTTGATCCATTTAACATAATATATATATATATATTATAGGAAGCCGTATGAATAATATTACCATTACCTATATTTTTGAAACTCCACAATAGATGAGCCTCGAAATCTACTTTAATCCTAAATAAACCCATCATGTCAACATGATACATAAAATTTATTATTAAAGATGTCAAGCATATTAAGTTATAATTAATTTAATCTACATATACTACATTCTGCTATGTTGGCTTTATTTGCTTCCACATTATCTTTCATTTCCCTCTGTCTTTTCTTTTTTGTCTCCTATAAATATATTCAGACAGGCCACTCACTATATCAACTCATGAACAAAAGTCTCTTTCTTTCTCTCTAGCTCATTATTTTTGCAGGGGTTAATTTGCTCTTTTATCCTATTTATTTTATGACAATTTTATTCTTTATTTTAATATATACATAATTTAAAATTAAACATAGTCATCCGACCATTACTCTGTACTAAAATGAATTTATTATCTAAAAACTAAAATTTATTTACATTAGTTTTTTTTATTCTGACAAATAAAAATTTATGCATTTAAAATTATATTAACATTGAACATAAATTAAAGACTTGTAAAACATATGATGTATTAATTATATATTTAATGTGTTTGTTTAATGTATTTTAAAATATAGATTAAAAAATAGTGAGAGTTTATTATATTAAAAAAAGTCATGGCACAATGTCAAGTCGAATTGTGAAAAAAAAAAGGTTAAGAAAAAAGTTATAAATATTTGAAAGAATTACAATCAAGCTCTAAACAAGTAAATTAATTACTATAAAAAATGTATTAACAACATAATTAATTATCAATACAATTTAATTCAACTGTTAATGAATTTTATAATAATTAATTTCATTATGTAAGAATTTAATATAATTCTCCCTAAATATTTTTACTCTAGAATTGTGGTTCTGAAGTGTTAAAAGTGAAACAATATTACCTTTTTCTAACTTCTTACTAATGTTGGCTAACGGAAAAAAATAACCTCTAAAGATTTGCCATCATTCTTGTCCTTGACTAACTGTGAACCCTCGCTCGTCTGGAAACATTGAATCCAAAAACGAATTGAAAGGCCTTTAAGACCAACTCATGGTCAGTGGTGTTGCATGAAGAATCCACGATAGCAAACAATGCCAGAAGAATCCAGAATCCAACGAAGGATGAATTTATATTCATAGTAGTCATAGCCCCTGTTTCTAAGAGATACAGTAAGATAGAGCATATTCAGAAGCAAAAGAGAATGGCTTAATAGTGATCTTGTTATTTGGAAGTTACAGTAGAGGAAGTAGGAAAAGAGCATCATGTTAGAGGGAGAAAGAGAGAGAAGAAGTTAATGGAAGTTGGATTTATAGAGAATGGGGGTTTAATATCATCCTGTTGGCTAGTGCGGCGATTGCGATTTTTCCCATTTCTTCCTTAATAGTATTTCACCAAAATGCTATCATCAACTCTATCAAAGCTCAAAAATAATTTTACCTCCTCTAATTTTGTGTTTTTAATTTTATAGCCTTTACCTGCTTTCCCTTGACCTCTTCCAAAACAATGGGTTTGACAACATCGATCCTCTAAGCCTCGCGCAATTCTGCTCATCTCTCTGAACCTTAGAGGAACCAAATTTCTTGGACCTCTTGTTGATAGGACTATCTTAAACCCCATTTTTGTTTGTGCTAGTATGGGTCCTAAAGATCCACAGATCTCGAATTGTGCCTACATAACAAATGCAAACTCCCTCTTCAGACCCATCCGAACCCTCGATAACACCAAGAACTAACCTGAATCCTTGCCGTTCGCCATAACCCAACAAAAATTGATTGAATCATGGAAATCCCGATAGAAGAGGAGAGGGAATTGAAACCCAGATCTATAAAATAAATCGCATCTGTCTCAGATTTGGTGATGTTAAGAGGGAAAGTGAGGATGCTTCATTAATCACTACCCCAACTCAAATAAAAGTAGGAATTGAAACCTAGATTCCAAATATAAATCACACTCCACCATGTTTTCAACACTTCTCAAGACAAGATTCCTCTTGAGACTTTGCTTCTGCCTCTTCTTCCTCCACTGATACTCTCTCTCACTCCCATGATTAGTCAAACGTTAGAGATGGGTAAGCCACTTTGAATACTTCCAGAGCAACATTACTATAAAGATACTCATAATTTTTTTTTAAAAAAATTCAGAAATATTTTTGCTCGTTAATCGCCGGGGGGAAGGGTAGTGCCAAACAGAGATAATCAGCCTGTATGTAGCAAAATAAGCTAATGAGTAGGAATACAATTTTGCCTTGTTGAACTAAATAACATGTTTAATTAGTCATAAATAATTTCTTTAATGAACTTCTTGGTTTCTACTCCTCGTCCTATTTATAGGATAAATAGAGTATTTATTTTTATATTAGTTATAAGATACCTCATTAAATATTGTATTCATCTTTATTATTTTGGTTTTATTAAATGTTAACAAGGTTGTTAAATGTTAGATTATTTTATTATTAAAGTATGTATATTTAATAAGAATAAAATTAAAAACTTATTAAATTTGTAGATAAAATTAATGAGATTTAATTTTTTATTTTAGTTTCGGTAAAAATGCTAAAAGCAATTGCGATCCTTGGTTTCTTTCTTTTATGAATGTCTAGTGGCTGAAAAGCTTCACCGGTTCTTCATCTGTTTTAATATGAATGTTGAAATCTTGATTCTTGCATTTTTGCTGGATTCCTTGGTGATCTACAACCAACATGCTTTCCAATTGATCTCCATCCCCTCCTTTTGCATTCAAATATTTTTGAAAGAATGATAGTTAAGATAAAAAGATCGAACTAATGACAGTTTATTATGTCACAAATAAAATATTTTAAAAAATAAATTAAAAATATCATTCTAAATAATTATAAATTCGAGAACCATTCAACTAGAAATAAGTATTTAAGTTTAAGTATGAAATGTAATTTTTAAATTGCTACAGAAATTTTAATTGATATTTATATCTCATTTTTTAAAAAATTTTGTCAGAAATTTAACGATCATTAATTCAACTTTTTTTGAATCTAATTATAATTCTCATTACATTTTTTGGCCGTAGGCGATGTCTAATTTTGGCTTGATTTTAGTAATGTAATTTAACAAAATGCTAATAACTGTAATTTTAAAAAAACATTTTTACATCATTTTATCCAGATAAGTTGAAAAAACAATTTCTGACCAAACGTGAAATAATTTCTAATCTTTCCAAAATCTCAACAAAATAAATATATTATTTAAAAAGAACTTATTTTTTGAATCTTAAATAATTAGGCCTTTTATCTTTTTCATATTAGCTGTCATGAGAAAGAATTCTTTTTTTTTTGAACAAAAATAATTCAATTTTATTAAAATTCAAAAAGTATCATTTAATCCAATTAAAATTTAAAATATTTTAAGCAATATCTTAAGTCGAGCACTTAATATAGACGCCTCTCGCAACATGAATTTGAACTTGATTTAGCACAATAATAATAATAATATTAATACTAGTCCCTCTCACAATTGTTAATTTAAAACCGGTTTATGTTTTTCAATCAGAGGCCAATACTCACAGGCTCCTAGCCACGAATGTCCAAGCATCCTCCAATCAAAGTTTAAGATGTGTAAACAAAATTATAAAACAAATACTACCATATCACATTCATGTGTCTTGGAAGCCACAGACGCCAAAATTTAATTTTAAGTAACAACCATTCTATAGTTCATTACAATGCGACACTCACAAATTTAATAAAATACAATGAGGATTGACTGTATACAAAACTTTATTCTTCCTTTTTCACAACCACAAATAACACTTTGAATCCTGATACCGCACACTATTTCACATTGTTCTAGTCTTCCATGCGAATGATACACCTGATGGACTCCCCTTTGAGCATGTAGTCAAAGGCTTTGTTGATCTCTGATAAAGGGACTGAATGAGTGATGAACTTCTCCAAATCTAGCTCCTGCAATTTCATCATAAGATCCCACCCATCACTAACATGACTAAGATTTTACACAAAATCACAACCACATTTCATTCCACAAGTAGACTTACCCCTTTCATGTACATCTCCACCACAGAAGGCAGATCAGAACAAGGCTTATAATTGCCATAGAATGTGCCCTTCAGAGTCTTTTCGTTCAGGAAATTCACTGGATGGGTTTTGAATGAATCATCCTTGTTTGGCACCAAAACCAGCACAGCTACACCCCATCCCTGCACATCCATAACCATTCACATAGTTAGCTCTAGCTTTGGTGGTAGCCTATAAATATACTCTAATGACATTTTAGCGGAGTTAGAAAGCATGTGAGTTTCTAATATGTACATCGTGGACACATTCGAATGTTGAGATCATAGCCTGTATGCTCCCAGTGCACTCAACCGCACGATCCACACCTCCATTTGTCATTTTCGCTATTACCTGTTTGGTGTTAACAATTAAAACCATGTTACTATGATGAGATAGGTGGCTATATTTATCAATCAATCAACCTCTTGTACAGGTTTGTCATGGTCTTTTGGGTTCACCCATTATATTTATTATTCTAAATTACTGGGAACTTATGACATTCTTCTTACTCATCATAATTTGGGACTAAGGAGAAAAAGAAAAAAAATAACATATATGCTCATGAGAATGAGAATTTTATTAATATACAAATTACTGTCAAAGTTATTTATATTTTGGATCACGAAAGTACATTTTGGGACACCGATTTATGTTTTATTTTTTTAAATTATGATTCATCCCTTCTGAAACTATTACAATTTAATATTACAAGACATTGATAAAATTTTAGCCTCATAGGTTATATATATTTTTTTAATGGAATGACTGAATTTATTTCAAAATGATGCGGATAAGGGAATTTTTTAAGGGGAAAAATAAGTTTTAGTTAGGGAAGATAACAATAAAATCCCTTTAAAATATGTAAATAATAATTTAGTCTCTCAAAATGCTATGATTCTCCTAAAGTCTTTAAGGACTTTTTTATCATTAACAAATTTATATAAATTACTAAGTTACCCTTTTTAAAAATAAATAATTCATGAGTTTTATTTAAATATTCACAATTTTTCTTTCTATATTCGCAACAATACAATAATAAATAAGAAATTCAACATGCGAAGTTATAATTTGTTGTTGTATTGTTGTGAATATAAAATGAAAAGTTGTAAATATTTAAACAAAACTTGTAAATCATTTATTTTTAACAAAGGTAATTTAATAATTTATACCAATTCATTAATGATAAAAAAAATTTAAAAATTTTAAAAAATTATAACATTTTAAGAGATTAAATTTTTATTTATATACTTTAAAAGAATTTTATTGTCAGTTAGGTCATCTTATATCGTTGTTTTCTAATCCCGTATGCAACTGTCCAAAAACCAGTAAGGTACATAAGTGTCCAGTCCCTTGCTGGTTTTTCCCCAAAATCTGCTTTTTTTCGGTCCACTTTGGGCTTTTGTGGGCAGTGCATATATATGTGTGTGTGTTAACTTCTCATGGTCAATATTGGACAAAGCCGACAGATGATATATGAAAGCAGAGATGGCACAACGTGTAAGGGAAGGCCTAAGGCTGTTAGTGGCGAAGACATTGAAGAAGGCAGTGGTGTTCGTGGACATGCTCTGCACTTGGTGGTCGCTGTCGCTATCGAAAGGCGAGAACGAGAATGAGCAGGCTATGGGCTGGACTTTAGTTGCTCGACCCAACAATGGCCGACGTTGGCCAACACTACTGGTCTACTCTTTTATAATTCATGCTTTGCTTATTTATTACAACATTCCCTTTCCTGGCTTAAATTTTGGCCATATTTTTTCCTGTTCATCGAACCCAAGCTTTTTTTATTTATTTATTTCAAACTTTGCTAACTTCTTTTATACATTTGATACTTTGCTCCCACATTTTAGATTGGGTCGGATCCAAATCGTCTTGACGGGCTCAGTGAAAGGTCCACTCCACCCATTTTTGGCCCTTGCTCTTCACTGCTTCCTCTCACCCTCTCTTGAATTTTGGTGGAACAAAAATTAGGAGTGCAGATCGTAATAATTCAGGCTAAATTTTGAAAAATACTAAATATAAAAAGAATAGGATTGTGGGGCTCAAGTCATGATAAACTAAAAAGTTCATTAAAACTGATTATTAGGATTAGTCTGACCCATTTTATTTTTTAACCTCAACGCAAAACTCAAAAAAAAAAAAAAAAGAAGAGAAAATGGCATTTTTATTATCCACTATGTGTGTGTATTTTTTTTAAAATTTCTCTAAGTTTTTTACTCTAAAAAGGAAAGGAATTTCTCCCTCCGAGTTTATTTTTGGAAATTTTAAACTGTAATTTTTTATTTTTTAATATGAAATGATACTTTAATTAAAAAAAAGCACATGATAACTGAAGTTATCACCACAATAAATAACCTTATCTTTTGTCTTGTTCAGCAAACGGAGATAGCTTCTCACAGCAACCGCCATGACCACTGCTTGTACCTAGGAAGGCGACTCAACAACTTTAAGTTCCCTAATGAAGCCTTTTCCCCCAACCTCGTCTTCACTACTATGATTACAATTCTACTGGCCTTCCTTCAAATTCAAAGTTCGACCGCCAATACCTTGCCCTTCCAGCTTCACCCTGTCCTTTACATGGCTGCTGTCTTGTGTTCCATAGCATATTACTTCAGTTTTGTGGCCAAGTTCATGTTTCCTAGTTTTGCTTCTTTGTTTGAAGTGCTCATGTCAGCCTTTGGCTCTTTGGTCGTTGCCTCTCTGACACCGTTAGTTCTGCAGCTTCCATGGTGGTCCATTTTCTTTATCCTCCTATTTCTCGAAGGATTCTTTAAGCTGCTCAACAAACTTCATGGCATATATGGCAATGTATGCCGACCACATCCAAGAACAGTACAGTTACTTATGCCAACAGTCAATCATTAGAGGATGATGAAAATGGATTTAGAAGATTATGTCTTGCCTTAATTTAGGGTATTTGCGTGTACCTTCTTATCTTTTTGTCTTCTCTATTCAAATGTTGTCTAATGTTGTGTGCATGTATTTTCTTCTTTCTTTGTTTTTTAGGGGGGGGTCTGTCATTTTATCGTTGAATTCCTCTTCATATGTTCATCAATGCTGTAAAATAGGAATTAAAGCTCATCAAATTCTTCTCTTAATGGTTAAAACAAGGGTCATCAGTCATGGTTCAAAGGCATTTTGGTCATGGTACAGAATCTTCAGCGCTCTAAAAAATTTCTCAATCAGTATCAGACAGAGGATTATATTTTCTAGTTTTATGATTAAATCTATTATCTACAGCTGTGAACACTAAAACATTGTCTCATATAATAGAAAATATCATGCAAAATGACCACTTATTTGTATATATGGAAACCCATTTATCTCCACATTATCAACTTATAATAGGACATGGACAATTATAGAATAATTATAGATATTAAGTTGGTAGATCTACTTCAAAGATGATGATATCATATAATCTTCTTCATTTTAGTGGAGATTCTATCATTTCATTATTTATATTATCAATCTCTCAATATCTTTCACATAGATATTGAGAGATTGAAAACAAAAGTTTGAATGCAAATCTGAGTTGTTTGTACCTGTTTAGTTAACCAGCTAACACATTTTAAGTTGAAAAAAGGTTGAGTGATATACATCATTTTCTTGTCCAAAAAATTATATTTTATATTTTTATAAAAAAAATAATTAATTTTAAATTAAAAATAATTTTAAAATAAATTTGAGCATGTATGAATTCCTAGCTCTACTACTAAACAAACATAATAAATAAAATAATTTTTTTGAATAATTATTTAATTATCATCCATGCTAGACTTGATTAAAAATTAAGAATAAACTAAAGTAAATACCTTTTGTATATAGGGCTTAAATAATATAAAAGGTTAAAGAAAAAATTTAAAAAAATAGTGTTTTACCCATAATTAAATAATTTTTTATATAATATAATGATAGCTATTTTTCTTATATTCTAAAAAAAGTATAGTTTATTCAATAGTTATTAAAAACTTTGAGCTAATCAGGACAATAATTTTAAATTAGTGGTTTAACCGTAATTAAATTGAGATTAACTTGATCATAATTAAAATAATATAATTTAATTAAAATTTATAATATTTTTATATAACCATGATAAGGATAATATTTAAACACATAAGACATTAATTTACAAGTAAATAAAACATTTATGAATAAATTGCATATAATACAACAAAATAGTAACAGAGCTACTTAAGTACTTAACTACAAAGTTAATAAGTTATTTTTTTTATTCCTTTCAAGTTAAAATAATATTTTATGCTTAATAAAATTATTTAAAAATTAAAATTGATTAAAAAATAAAGAAAAAATATTTTTATAAAAAAATTTGGGTATTCGGGCGGGCCCGAATAAGCCCGAAGGCCGAAGACGTTAGGGTCAGGCTTAGCTATATGGGCTTTTTAGAATAAGTAGGATTCTTGAAGCTCGATCCGAATAAACCCGACCCGAATAAGCTCGCCTGCTTGAATTTAGTTTTTTCTAATTTCAATGGACCAGAATGTGAGTAGACTACTGCGCGGTTTATGTTTGTTGAAGTTCTTCATGATTCCAATTCCAAGAGGCCAACAACCCATCCTCTCCCAATGATTTTTATGACAAGAAGACATTACTGAACCTAGCAAGGAATGACAGGTCAGGGATTGAAAGCTAATGTTGCTTTTGCTTCCTTCAGTTGAGATTCTAAATATAGAACCAACATGTTTGTTGACTTTATGTTATTAATCTTCATAATGCTTGCTCTTCTCAGGTGTATCTGAACATTTCTATTCTAACGTGTCTTGCATTCCTTTCATTAAACCTTTGTTCTTTTTTCATCCACCACATCATTTATTATTATTTTTCCTTTCTCTCTATACCAAGCGTTGCTTAAACTGATGGAATTTCATATTTGGTGATCGCTGATCAAAATCAATGTGCTCTGCTACAACTCAAGTTCTTTTCTTTGATCTTTAATAGAAAGCAGTGGGCCATTACGCATATATCACCAAGTTTTCTTAAAGTAAATTTTTTTTCTTTCATGTATTACTTCTCCCTTGTTAGGGCATAATTTGCTGAACATTTTATGTTTTTCTACTCCTTCTTTTAAGGATTGATATGGAGGTCTTCTCAACTGACCATTTGACCTATATTCATTGCTTTCCTATTTATTTGTACTGTGATGTGTCTTTGTCCATTTAATTTTTTTCACTTGGTTCGGTTTT